TTTTATTAAAATATGATTGACAGAATACAGACAATTCCCCCGCATCATTTCCCTCTTTTTTTTTTTTTAAACAAAGGAAAGTACCCATAGTCCATTTGTTGGGAATGTGGGCGTAGTATTTCAGGCTACTTCCTGCTGGTTGGGGGCGCTGATGATCTTATGGGGACCTAAAGAAAATTTAGAGTTATAGTCAAGTCCTGACTGGAGTTTCCTGTGAGACCTGATCATCTCAGGCAGCGCCTTGAATCCGTTCTGGATGTAGAACTCAGACATCTGGGCCATCTATTCCTGTCGGAGATTTTTCAGGTGGCCTCCCTTGGTCAAAGATGATTTTTCTTAACTCTGAATAAATCCAGAGCCTCTCATTTTCTGTGGAAACAAAAGCAAAATCTCTTCTCCAAAGTAACATACCTTTTGACTTCAGTTTTGAAGCCAAGGTATTTTCAAAATATCTATATTGGATTAATTCAGCAGCATTTATAAACAAAAGTCTTTTAGCAGCTGTTGCTCCTTCCTCAGCATTCAAACAATTCAAAGAGAGCATAATAACATACGGTATCAAGATTCTCTGTGTATTTTCCATCTTTATTTTAACTTCTATTTCTTTTATTTTTACTTTTACTTTTTGAGACAGGTTCTCTGTATATCTTTGTCCTGGAATAACTCTGTAGACCAGGCTGTCTTTGAACTCACAGAGATCCTCCTGTCTCTGCCTCCCCAGTGCTGGGATTAAAGGTGTATGCTACCACACCTTGAACTCACAGAGATCTGTCTCTGCCTCCCAGGCATTGGGATTAAAGGCGTGTACTACCACACCTTGAGGTCACAGAGGTCAATCTACCTCTACCCCTTGAAGTCACAGAGGTCAATATGCCTCTGCCTCCCAGGCATTGGGATTAAAGGTGTGTACCACCACACCCAACTACTCTCTTTCTTTCCTTTTAACTTTAAGAACTTTAACTTTTAGCCTGCATATACACACTGTAAACCATTTAGAGGTTTTCTTCATCTTTGAATCTCTCTTTACTGTTTATCTCTCTTTTTCTGACCACATGAGCCTTTAATTTACAAAGCAATATGGGAAGCCGTGGCTTTGACAGCTAGATCCAGCTCATTCCTTAGCTTTCCAGACTCATAGCTGAGATACCAGCCACAGCTGTGTTCACTGCCACAACTTGTCATGTTTCAAGGTCCTTGCTAGCAAGCAAGCTGCATCATTCTGCTCACAGACCACACTCAGTCGGACTGCCTGCCTGCAAGAGTCAGAGTTTGTCCTGGCAGGACAGCCCAGAAAGCCGGCATTTTAAAACAGCGCAGCTTTTTTCGTGCTACGGCTGAAAACCGAAAAGCATGCATTCAGCCCTTCATCAACACCGTTTAAGTGCTTCGCGGCAGGACCTCCCAAAAGAGCTGCAAGGTTTTGCAGCTAAAGCTGAGTCAGGAAGCCTCTCTTAGATGAGGGCATTTGCTTGCCTCTAGCAAGCAGAGCAGACCCGAGAAACTGCTGCTACCAAGAAACCATGCATAATGCTGTTATTTTGTTCTAGAATTACTTCCCGAGCTGTCTCAGGCTTTATGTGGATACAGTTGTCCACACGTTGGCGCCATATGTAACATGAGGGCTGGCTTGTTGGGGTTTCTGTCCCTCCCAGTACCCCAACAACCGGCAAGCAACAAAGAAAATCACACACAAGACTCCATAAGGTTATAAACTGATTGGCTCATTAGGTCAGGCTTCTTGTTAACTCTTATAACTTATGTTACCCCATTATCCTTATCTACTTTAGCACATGGCTCTGTACCTTTCTCAGCTGGGCAAGTTACATGCTGCCTCTTCAGTGATCTGCGCAGGAGTGAAGGAATGGCTTCCTGCTTTCCAGGATACTCCTGTTTTCATTGCATCACCTCTACTTCCTGTCTGGTTTTCCCACCTATACTGCCTGCCTGGCCAATCAGCGTTTTATTAAAATATGATTGACAGAATACAGACAATTCCCCCGCATCAGAGGTCAACCTGGTCTACAGAGTGAGTTACAAGATTACAAGAGAGCCAGACATATACAGGGATACCCTGTCTCAAAAAACCAAAAATGAAAATGAAAATTCACTTGACGAATTATTGCTTTTCCACCTTAATTGTGTTCAGGAAAAAAAAACTGCTAATTAAAGTGACTTTATAAAATCCAATATGGTTGCTAGTGCCAGCAGAGAAGCACTGTGAGTCTCATTTCTTTGGAAAGCATCGTCTGTTTTCTTACTAACTGTGTTAAGTAGCTGACTTACAAATGCACATTTGAAGCCTTTTTAAATTTCTCTCTTTAGACTTGACACTGAGCAATCCCACCTCGCTTTGCCGTACTATAAGATGTCTGGATTGTCTCTGGCTGAAGTTTTGGCCCGTGTGGATTGGACGGAAGACAGTGAATCACAGAAATATGAGAGAGGATTAATATTCTATATTAACCATTCACTTTATGAAAACCTGGGTGAAGAATTAAATGAAGTGAATATAATTTTCTATACTGTTACAGCTTCTGTTTTTAATTTTTTATTTTAATAATTTCTTTTAGTAAATAGTATTTAGAACTTTAGTTCCAAATACTTTTTTCTTTTTCCCCACTAAAACAAAAAAATCAATGTGTTCTTTTATCTTTTAATGATTTTAGAATTATAACTTGGACAAAAGTTTAGGGGTCGCCTTCTCCCATTTCCTTAGTATTTAGCATGGAGGTGTTATCTGTTTTGATTGAGGGACCTGCCCAACCATATTGACATCCATTTCCGAAGTGAAAGATAGAATCAAGTAGCTGCCTTCCTTTTTTTTTTTAACTCTATTTGACTTATTTTTCAAGTGTCCAAAACATTACTATACATTATTTTTAATCCTTTCTGTGTTTTAAGCACAGTTGGATATTGCAATAGTATATACTTGGAGATTTCAAGGGAAGTAAAATTTCTTTTGAATTACATTACAGCATCTTTTTGAACTAAGTTGTAGTTTTTGAATTGTAGACTTTTGAATATAATAACATTTTCTCCTATGTGATTGAAATTAGAAAAGTTGGTCACAAATTGGTATATATTTTTCCCTGATTGTTTTTTTATTGCATCTCTGCAGACAGACCATGTCATCTCATTTCTAGTTTCCCAAACTGTCTCCTGAACACTGTTTCTAAATCATAACTTACATTGTTTATCTATTGACTTTGCATATATACATTCCTTTTTTCTGATAATACTGCTTCCTATTGGCTAACCTTTTATTCTTTGTTCACACGTGTCAAAGGAACTAGCAGCAAAAGTGGCTCAGATATTTCACGTGGCTGAGCCGAAGCAGCTGCCTCATGTCCTCTGTAGTCCCTCTATGAAGAATGTTGATCCTTTAACTGCCTTGCATTATTTAAAGAAGCTGGATGCACACGAATCTTCACCAGTCTTAGTGACCTTGACCAAGGCAGCAGTGGCCTTGAAAATGGGAGATCTTGATCTGTGCGTGAATGAAATGAAGAGCCATTCAGAGGTAGAGTACCGGGCCTGGTGCTTGGCTACAGTCAGAAAGGATTGGAGGTGGGCCCAAGGCACTTGACTTTCTTCTGTCTTCTTTGTACCTCGTGACTACATTTTTTCTTTTTTCTTTTTTTCTTTTCGAGTTAACGTTTTTCTGTATAAATGTACTGGCTGTCCTGGAACACGCTCTGTATACAAGGTTAGGCTTAAACTCACAGAGAGCTGCATGCCTCTGCCTCCTGAGTGCTGGAATTAAAGGTGTGGGCCATCACCTCCAGACGTACCTCATGGTTTCTTAATAATAGATAAAAGACAGTATTAGATGGGGACTACTCTAAGTGGGATTTTAGACTGGCAAATGAAACAAAAGAAAAATGACTGACAAATATCAGCAGAGGCTTTCATCATCTTAGTATCACATATATTCAGAATATTATGTTTGATACAGAAGAGTATAAAAGCAGTACCCACAGTTGACAGTTAAACTAAGTGTAAGAGACAGTATGTTCACTGGAAGCACAATAGGGTGTTGAGGTTTTTTTAGTATAGAAAGAAGGATATTAACTGTAAATGATAGGAGTCTAATAGGTCAAAAATGCTCTCCACTGAGAAAAACCACAAGTGACACCATGAAGTAGTGGATATTTAAATGGTGCACCAAAGGAAGAAAAGCTATCTGTCTATCTATCTATCTATCTATCTATCTATCTATCTATCTATCTATCTATCTATCT